GAGTATAGATTTAGGGCCAGAGTAATAGTACTGGAATCTTGTTTTCTATATCAGATAATACAAAATTTAAGCAAAAAATGCACCTGTGAAATTCGCCTTGTATGCTACCGCCTTTTCAAGGTATGCGCCATTAAATGTTGAACCACTGAAATCAGATTCCCTCATATCGGCAGATGTGAAGTTGGCTCGTCTGCGCAAAACAGTTAAGACTTATTATTATTATTATATTGAACTGAAGAACCTAGCTATTTATTTAATTWGGTCAGGAAATAAGAATAGCCATTCAGTTTAAAAATTCCCCCACCCCCGTTTGAACTATCTCTACTTTTTGATAATGAAGAATTCCATACAAACATTCTCAGCTTAAATTAAAACAAATTAGCCAAATATCAACTTCAGATCAGTATAAAGTACGTCAACTACATATTTAATATAAGTTTACAGGGGAATGCCAGACCAGAAGTATCACCTGAAATTCTCATTCACATGAACCGCTTTCCTGTGAAGCAGGAAACAGAGGAAGTGAATTACTATTCGAGAACTAAGGCATATACGTTAAGAGAAAATAATATGAATTTAACAAGGAAATGAACCTGAGATCAGCAGAACCAAATTGGGCTGCAGATCCAATCCCGAATTCACCACGGACCTCCGCTTCATATTTGTTGAGATCGGCGAGAGCTGGCAGTCCGGAGTTGAAGCTTATAACCGCAGTTGCCAATGCAGTCGACATTAGAGCCTTCAACTTCTTCGATTCTGTGCTTATCGACAACGTATCTTGTTATAAGATTCTCAAAGCTCTTAGAACCAAAAATAAAGATAAAGCTTGTTAAAGAATATAGAATTTCACCGAAAGGATTGGGCCTGCTTTCCGGTGAGGCGCTACAGATAACGACGGAGGGCCTCGAGACATGTTCCAGATTATTCCCAACCGAAGAAGAAGACGACGACAATTGTAGGGCTTTTACAGAAAATGGAGAGACGGAAGCAAGAGCCATTTCTAAAGAATAAAAGATTAAAGAGTTTGGTTTTTTGGATGGCAAATTGGCAATTGGCAAAGGATGAAGAATGACGAGAGAGAGAGAGAGAGACCGAAAAACAGATTTGAAGTTACCAAAACGAATTTACACGTGCGATACGCTTTCCCTCCAACCACATCCACTCTAGGCTAAGGAATGGTTAAAACGTCCACACGTGTACTTTTAAGTATTTTGATTTTAGACAAGCAACATATTATGGTTGCTACGCAGACACGTTGATGTTAGTAAGAAGTACCCGGTTCAACTAATGTTGTCAGATTAGGATTGGACCGGGATGGTCAGACCAAAAATCCTTTTTTTTTCTTTTTTTTATTTTTATTGAGATTTCGTATTAGCTGAATGCTTGAAAATTTGGACGCCTGCCCGTGGAACCTTATCATTGGTTCCCCAGCCCATTGAACACTGTTCAGCTAAACCTTGCTTGGTTTGATTGCCGTGTAAATGTAAATCAACTTAAAATTCCATCATAATTTTGATTTCAGTATAAAAATGGATCAATGTAAACTTTCACACAGTCTATTTTTTTTAAGAGTTTGTTTTGAATGTAAAGTTTACATTGAAAATGGATATAAACCATCTAATCGATTGACTTTTTCATTGTAAATCAATGTAAATGATGCATCGATTTTATCAATTCTTACATAAAAAATTCTCCTAACATTCCATTCAAATTTTAAACCAATCCACTGACTTTTCCATCAACTCACTTTTACATCAATACATCAACAATTTCTCTTCTAGTATCATGTATTTCCAGCAGAATACATTTTTATTTACTTATATTCTTATAAAAGTATCTATATAGTTACTAGATGCAGTATATCTCAAATTATTATAATTTCAATTTCCTTCCCTCAACATMTTTTTTAAAAATCATCAAATCAAATGATTTTATAATAAATTTTTGGTCCCTCAACTTTAAAACACAACAATTCAGTACCCGCACTTTCAAAATGTGCCAGTATTGCCGTTAATTAGTTCATCACATCCCATTGGGCATTCTGGTAACCCCAACTTTCATAAATAGAAAAGTCAAGGGTTTGGGACTGTTTATTTTTTATCAATGTTTGGATGGTTGATAAAGCAACTTAGATGACACTCGAAAGGTATTTGTGTCTTTTTAAATGCCACTTAACAACTAATTGACGAGTTGGTTAACGATAGGTATTGGATTGGCACGTTTTAAAAGTTCGGATATTAAATTATTATGTTTTAAAATTTTGGGACCAAAGTGGCACTATGCCCAAAGTACATGATACTAATCAGGAATTTTCCCTAAATTTTTACATATAGTAAGTAGTTTCCTAATCATGTTAGAGTAATGAGCCTCTCTACACAACCTAGCACGAAAAGAGAGATGTAGCTAATGCAGTGGTCTAAGTAGGGGACTTTGGGATTGGCCACTTGTACAATCTTTTATTATTCCACAACAACTTGTAGCTCACCTTTTTATTAGTGCCCTTCACAAGCTTTATTATTGGCCAATGAAAGTTTTGATATTTTAATATCGAATTATATATATATTAAAGGAAAGTCTTCAAACTACAGCTCCCTACCATTTAGACACATGGCATTTTCATTTTTTTGGACATCTAGACACGTGACATTTTTTGAGAAGTTGTTGTTAAAGCCCACAACCCACTACCACCATTTAGACAAGTGGCCTTCTCATTTTCTAGAAAACTAAACACGTGGCAATTTTTAAGAAATTCCTGTTAAAACCCACAACCCACTATTAAGTACAGCCCCATRCAATTTAGACTTGTGGTCTTCTCATTTTTCTAGAAAGATAGACACGTGGCATTTTCTAAGAAATTTCTACTAAAGCCCACAACCCACAACCCACTACCACTATTCAAACAGCATCTTATTAATTCAAGAAGTGGGTAGTTTCACTCCTAAACATTCTCAATAGATATTTATTTATTAGCTTAACACATGTTCATCCATAATCTATTAAATACAAATGGTGGGACCAATTAAAAGATTACCATAAACCCATGTTTGTTTYTAAACGATGTTTTTCAAAAAAAAAATACTTTATTAATTACAAATTTGATTTAACTTTTAGGAAGCAACCTAATTTAACTTTTAAAAATAAATAACTCAAAATAGATTTATTAGATAAATAGTAAATACCAAATAAAGTGGGTTATTGTTTACGAATAAGATCTCCTTTAATATATTAAATCAAATTAAAAAAAAAACATAAATTAATAATAGTTTTCAAATAAAATAGGTCTAGGTTGTCAATTACAAAGATGCAACACCCATATTAGTTTTTTTAGTTTAATTTTTAATAACTAAATAATAAACTTCATACTAAATTATACACACATTTAGTTACCCCATACTTAGTAAGAGGGTCATCCTCTAGTTTAAACAAAAAGAAAAATTTATTCTAATCATATCACAATGATTTTAGACTCAATTTTGCCCCTATCAAGTGGAGACGGCGGGAAACATAATCGACCCTTTCAGACTCTGAACCAATTTGCCACGTGGAAGATTTTTTTATTGCTATGACTAGAAAATCTACTCCCAAAGTATATATATAATTTAACCATATTTTTTAATAGAAATACGCCAATATATTTATGAAACATTGAATTTGAATTGTATATATACATATTTTCAATTTTTTAGGCAAAAGTTTGGTGATTTGAAAACCAATCTCCTTAAGCAAATTAAATAAATTTTTTTTATGAAATTTTGACAAAATGAATCCCAAGCTAGATACGTTGGATAGGATGCCAATGAGTCCCAAGCGAGTTTGAGTGTTTGACCTATTAAGTCCAACAAAGTATTTGACATAGAGTGAACTTTTTCAGATGTTATTAGATGTATATGGGTTTGAGTCGGTTTGAGTCTGAGTTAGCTAGGGGGTTATGGAGTTGATGTACAACTTAGTACTGTTGGGTTGGTTCAACACTCTCACTATCATCATTCAGTGATTGTAGGTTTTTTGTTCATTGTACTGAGCTGACAATTGAATGGTACATGTCTGAGTTATAACTCACCCATTTAACCCATAAACCTATTTAAAAACCTAACAGCATGGTGCCTAAATGGGTGTGAGTGTGTGACCCACCAATGCTAAACTCTGACACAAGTAATGGGTGTCCATCACCCAACCTATACCTACCCACTTGGATGGTGTTTAAACTTTAAAGTTTCAAACTGAACTGTTTAAAATTGAACCCTAGCGGTTCAACCTTATCAATCCTAGTGGTTCAAATTAATTGAATCCTGCTGGCGTCTAAGGTAAGGCAGGTTATTCTGGGTCTAAAAAAAAATCTTATCAAGCTCATTTTAATTTGTCATGCAAATTATGATATTTTATTATTATTTTTTGAATGTGTTAAAGGGGTGTTTGTTTTTTGAATTTTGGGAGGGAAGAAAGTTAGTCAATCCCATTGATTAAGATATTTATGTTCTTTTTTCAGATTTATATGGGGATTATAAAAAGTTTATTTTCTTGGGTATTACTCCCAGGTGAATAAACAACTTTTTCATATAAAGGAAAGTTGTCAATAATTATATGGGACAAAAATGTTCTTTTTAATAATAGATTTTTATAGCTAAAACAGTTATTGTCCTATTTATCTAGAAAATAAAAGAATATAGATAAATACACTTACCAGAAACATTTACCCCAGTAAATAACTTCTTGAGAAGAGAAGGAGGACTAAGTGCCATTAGACCCCACATAGAATAAATGAAGCAGAAAAGCCCTTCAGATTGTAAGAAATATCCATAATATGTGAATTCAAGTTGAATGGGCTGTACTAGATATGTGAAAGTTGAATTGCCTATGCAGCGCTGATGTAGCTAACATTCCAACCTGAAATGGGGAGAGCAACGAGGCAAGCTCTTGAGCTCTATCATATCCAAAGCGTTGACATCCAATATACAACCCTCCAAATGTGTTGGTTGGATGGATCAAAAATATTTATCACCCCTATGGGCATGGTATATATAGATAGAATTCTATAAGTCTACAAAAGCCTAGCTAGCTACAACATCCATCCTTGTCCCACATTGGAGACCCTCTGGGTGCCCTGGAGTCTAGACACCAAGATCAGTGTAACACACTACTACTTCAGCGTTCACCCTTTGAAAAGTGCAAACCTCACTTTTGCAATTCCCCAACAATAAACACAGTCACCATGCATGGATAACCCAGAGTATATTAGACAAAACAATGGTCCCAAGGATCTACTCTGAGGGAGAACTACTATTTCACCCTCCTAGCGCTAGTGTAGTCGTGCAGAAATATTTTCGGCTAAACATTAGGTACGTACTTCACAGTTTCGTACTCTACCAAATTAATTCACTTTCAAAGTAATAGCTAATAGGGTTAGATCAGCCAGTAGTGTTATTGTACCATGTCTTCCAACACCACGCGATTCCAATGTCTCTACTCTCATGCATGAGATATTTGAAGTGGGAGATGGCATTAATGCTTCTCCCTATGTACCGTAATAACACTATCAATATGATTGTACACCGAATTTAATGAGAGCATCTTTGAACACCAGATGCCCACATCTGGTATGTCAAATCCCTCTTAGACAGGGAAACTTGGGGGAGAAAACAAAACACTGATATCCGCATTTATCTACTTATTCTCTCTCACACCAAAAATTGTAAAACAACAACAGTGGTTTAATCCATCTTAGGTCACTGTAAGCGTGGATCCAAATCGATCAGCACTTCTGAGAAATGCAGCTGGGAAATGTTAAATGGAATGGGCAAAAAAAAAAACTGTGAAATTGTAGCCCTTGGATGCATTGTTGTGACCCTACTTTACATCACCTCATCTGATTTTTGAGCATTCAGGGGAGGCATTACATGGCTTCTTGCATCTCTACTCATGTAACCTTTTGAACCGCCTACGACCTGATTGGTCCAAAACGTACAACACTTCCTGGTTAGAATTCACCAAACCAAGTACAAGTCTCTGTCAAAAATGCCATTCCAAATTAGTGGTGATGGTACCCGTATGTATACTATACATATGGCTAGAAAATATGGTATTG